TCTTTTTCTTGGTGCTGGGATTCGAACTCACAACGTTGCATTAGCCAGGCAGGCCCTGTGCCACTGACTATATCCCAGGCCCAGAGCAAAAGTTTTGATGGGTGATGTTCAATTTATCATTTTTCTTTTTCTATTTTGGTTCATCATCTTGGTTTTTAATTCAAGAACTCTTTGCCAATATCCGAGTCTCCGGGGATGTTTTCTTCTAAGGGTTTTACTGTTCTACATTTGGACCTATGATCTATTTTTCTTTATTTTTTTGTTTTTGTTTTGTTTTCTTAAACAGTGCTTTGCTCTATCATTCAGGTGGGCCCTAAACTCACTACGAAGCCCAGGCTGGCCTTGAACTCATGGTGACCCTCCTGCCTCAGCCTCCCGAGTGCTGGGATGACAGGCGTGCACCGCCATCCCCAGCTTGATTTGATTATAAAGAAAAAACATTAAATCTCTCAGAACTGAAAGTATGATGTCATCTGAGTTTTTGTTTGTTTGTTTTTTTAATCAATTTTCTTTATCAGGTTGAGAAAGTTCGTTCTGTTCCTGGTTTGCTAAGTTTTATCACGAAGGGATGTTGAATTGTATCGAATGCATTTTCCTATACTACCGACACGATTACGGGGTTCTGGGGGTTGTTGTTTGGTTAATTATGTTGCTCCTAGGAGAAGCCTGACCTCGCTGTGGTATCTTTTTTAAACACACCGCTGGGGCTCGCTCCCTAATACTCAGTTAAGGGTGCTCATGTCCGTGTTTCTGAGAGAGACCAACCCGCCTCTTCCTCCTATCTGGAGCAACTGGAGAGGATTTTTAAACATTATCTCTTGAGCTGAGGATACAGCTTATTGCCTGACAGATGTGAGGTGCTGAGTTTGGTTCTTGGCACAAAAATAATTGCTTCTTTCAAACGTTTGGAAGAATTTGCCACTGAGACAAGCTGGGCCTGAGGTCTTATTCTCTGGAAGACTTTAACTTAAATTCTATTTTCCTAGTGGGTTTGCTGGGATCCAGGCCCTCTGTTTCCTCCTCCTACTCCTCCTCCTGCTTCCTCTCTGAATCACCAGGGCCTTGGCCACGAGCTACACCTCAGACCCTTTATTTTTCATTCTTTATTTTGAGGCCGGGGCTGGCCGCACCACTGATGTCCAGCCGGGCTGGCTGGACCCTGCAGCCCGAGGCTTCCGCGGCGCTGGGAGGCACCGCCACCCTGCCGTCTGTTTATTTCTGAGTGGGTTTCCAGAGCTTGTGTTTTCAAGGCTCTTTGCTCTCAGTCAAGGCCGCACAGGGCGCCCAGTCCTCTGGGTACGCGGGCGCCCCCCTTTCCCCTGTAGGGCGGGTGGTGATGCCTCCCGCCCCGCCCGGCTGTGGAACCCGTCCCTGCTGTTGGGGTTCGCTTTTTGAAGACTCTGACTAGACGGTTATCAAGTAAACGGCTTTTGGTTTCATTCTGTCTTTTTTGTTTTGTTTTGTTTTGTTTCTTTGTCTTTTTGAGGCCGGGTCTGGCTTTGCAGCCCAGGCTGGTCTGGAACTCGCAGCGATCCTCCTGCCTCAGCCTCCCAGTGCCGGGATGACGGGTTAATTGATTCTTCCGTATCAGTTTTCTACTTTTATTTCATAGATATTTTTGCTCTTATCTTTTCTTGCTTGTCTGCTTTGAGTTTCTTTTGCTCTCTTCTGATGTCTTCAGGTAGAACATGAAAGCGTTAACCCTGGGTGTCACCTCAGTTTGCAGTGCTCTGTCTGACTGTGCTCCTGGCTGTTGGAGTTTGTACAGATTGACAGTTAGTGGCAACCCTGCACACAGTAAGTCTAGGGGAGCCATTTTTTTGTCCCAACAGCTGAGATAATCATTAACATTTTTTTAGTAATAAAGTATTTTAAAATTAAGGGATGTGATTTTTAGACACAATGCTATAGTACACTTAGTACACTACAATAGGGTGAAATCTAACAGACACATGAACTGAAAAACCCCAAATCAAGCCGGGTGTGGTGGCTCACGCCTGTCATCCGCACTCGGGAGGCTGAGGCAGGAGGGTTGCTGCAAGTTCGAGACCAGCCTGGGCTACAAAATGAGTTCAAGGCCAGCCTGAGCTGCAACAGCGAGACCCTAAGAAAACAAAACAAAACCGAACCCTAATGTTTTAGCAGGATCCTAAATGTTTTTTTTTAGCAGTGGGGGGTGGTATACCAACTTTGGTGACACTAATGTTAGTAAGTTCTGATAACCCACTGCCGTCGGACCAGCCGGATCCTAACATTTTTGATAGATCATGTGTTTTTAAATTTCCTTTCTGTTTGAAGTACTTTCTAATTTCCTTCGAGGCTTGCTTTTTCTGTTGTTGGTGGTGTGTGTGTGTGTGTGATAGGGTTGTGCTGTGTAACTCAGGCCGGGCTGACTCACGGAGATCCTCCCGCCCCGTCCTGAGTGCTGGGATGATCAGGATGAGCCACCATGACCCGCTGCACACTAACTTCGCTTCCTGTATAGATTACGGAGGAAGAGATGGCGGGCTGGAACTGCGATTGTGTAATTGTCTTTTTCTCCTTTATTCTGCTCTCGATTCGTGTATTTTGTGAGTCTACATTTAGCACCGCTTTTTTTTTTTTTTTTTTTTTTTTTTTTTTTGTCTTTCTGAGGCAGGGTCTCGCTGTGCAGTCCAGGCTGGCCTTAAACTCACTTCGTAGCCCAGGCTGGTCTCGAACTCGCAGCGATCCTCCTGCCTCAGCCTCCTGAGAGCTGGAATGACAGGCGTGCGCCACCACACCTGGCTCACACATCGATTCTTTTATCTTTTTCTCTGATTTTCTTTCAGGCCCTTCACGCTAAACTGCATTCCTAGCCCTTGTTAAATTCTGAAATAAAGAGTCACCACTAATTCACTAGGTTGCCCAGGCCGGCCTGTAATTTGCAATCCTCCTGCTTCGGCCTCCGCAGTAGCCGAGGTTGCAGGGATGCATCTGGGGTAACTGGGTGTCAGCCAGGGTTCTGCCACTGAGCGACACCCCGGCTCCTTCCTTGATTCCTTTAGATTCCAGTGGAACCCAGGAATCCCGAAAGCCATGTGCAACTTCCCAACAGGCCCCTGCCAAGTCTGCGCCCAAAAACCTGGAAGCGGTGGCGCGCACGTCCGGGTTCACAGCAGCGCAAAGCCCCACTTAGGGAGCCTGCGCGCTGCAATCCGGCCGTTGGCCAGGCTCTCTCGGGCGACACCTGCTGGGCATTGCGGGCACCACAGCTCCCTGCGACCTGCATTTCCACCCTGCTGCCTTCCCACAGCCCTCTGCGCTGCTTCTGCCGCCTGGCGCATCCTCCGCTCACTTACTGGTCCCAGCTCCCGCCTGTCCTCCCCGAAGCGACCACGAGAGGGCGCCGTGAGCACCAAGTCAAGGCCTTCCCTCCCCTCCTCAGCTCTCAGCGGTCCAGGGCTCCCACCTCCGGGGGCACAAGTCCTCAGCAGCCCAAAGGGCCCCCATACGGCCCTCTCGTCCTCTTCCCGCCTCCCCTACTCCAGCCGCAAGGCCTTCTCGCTCCTGCAGCAAGCGGACTCCATTGTACCCCAGGACCTTTGCATGGCGGCACCCTCTACCTGGGCCGCCTTCCCTTAGGTGTACAGAACATGTCTTCCCTTCTCACCTGCCATGAAGGCTGTGTCTGAGGCCAGTCTTGAAGCACTCCCAAGGCCCCCTCCCGCACAGCCCCCAGGCTCTGTTTTCCTCTTGTGGTGGAGTCAGAGTGTAAAAATACTTCGTGCCTACCTGTGCAGCATCTGGGACAGAGCTTGGCACACAGCGGGTCCTCAAGCTCTCTCGGACTAACGGGCAATACAAGGTGTGCTCAAACCGTACCTTCTTCAGGTTTGCTAAATGAACCACAGAAAAAGACCCATCACCATGCACCCCCCAAACCCTGCCCCTCACCCAGACACCCCGACCCCACGGTCTAGCCATTTCTGCAGCAGCTCCGAGCCCTCTGCCCTGGGGGTCTGCACTGGGTGTGATGTGAATTCCAGGGCCTGCTGCTGCCCGGCACCCTCTGACCCAAAGGCGGCCCTGAAGTCACCCTGCCGGTGACCTCGCCCACCTGTGATTTCTGGCTCCTCCCCAGAGTAAAAATGACCGTGAAAAGTGAGGGCTTTGGACGCATTCAGGACACTGAGGGAGCCAAGACAGCGCCACTAGGACACTCAGACCCACTGCAAGCGCTAGGAGGGGCCAAGGAGGACGGAGGCGGAGTGCTGGGAGCGGTGTGGCTACGCGGTCATGGATTTTAGTTCACACTGTTTTTGTGTGTCTTTTTGAGACAGCGCTCACTGTGTAACTCGGGCTGGCTGGAACTCACAGGGATCCTCCTGCCTCAGCCTTCCCCGGCTCAACATTTGCTGCTTTTCCAGCCACATCACAGATACCTGAGGGAGGACAGGAAAGAGCTAGAGCCCTGTGCTCACCTGCGGGCCGGTCACATGGTGCAGCTGCTGTGGGGAAGGGTACATGGGGAGGGGTCTGAGCTGTCAACTCCACTGCTGGGTATGGACCCTAAAGAACCAAACCCTGAGATCTGAAGGGACCCCTGCACAGCCATGATGCGCTCAGGTCCTGGCAGCCTAGAAGTGGAACAACCACAGTCAGTGTACACAGATGGGTGAATAGATGCCCACAGCCTGGTCTGTCCATATATGGAATATTACTCGGCTGTGAAAAGGAAATCAATTCTGACATCTGCTTCGCCGTGGGTAAACCGTGGTCATGCTGCTCAGAGGCTGAGCCCTCATGGTCCCCCTCCCAGGACAGTCCCAGCGTGTCAGACCTAGAAACAAGGGCGGTGGTGTCAGGCTGGGGCAGGGACAGGAGTCAGGGTTTCCTGAGGATAGTTTCTGCTCAAGGCTGAAGTCTGAGCCACATCAGATGGGCTCAGCTCAGGCCGCAGGCGCCAGGAGGACCCACGAGCCTGGCTTCCGTCCCTACCCTCCCTGGCATCGGGACAGAAACATGACAGAGGCACCGCGTTTAGGAACAGAATTTATTCCAATTTAAAACAGAATTCATTTCAGAAGATACGAAAAGTGGACTTCCCTCAGGGGCCGTGGGCGCACGGTCAGGGCCCAGCCTGCTGCGCGGACCACGTGCCCCCAGGGCCGGCCGAAGCCAGGGGGCTCCGATGCCTCCCCGTCACCCGCCGCTTGGCACATGCGTTTCAAATGACGAGAGGTTTAAAAACAGCGTCTCAGAGAAGGTTCTTTCTTAAATAGGTTAAGGTGCGGGCTGTCGGAAACCAGGACGGGGTAATATACAAGTGCGGCCAGGGCGCGTCTGCTGGGCTGCGCTGGCCTGCGCCCGGCCTTGGCACGGACGTCGGCGGCGCCCGGTAACACTGCTGGCTCGGGGCGCGTGGCCCCCGGCCGTTCATTCCCTTTTCGTGATGGCGAAGTGCGGGGCTGCGGGGACTGAGCCCCTGAGCACCCCGCGCAGGCCCCGGCGAGGGCCTTGGTGGCACAGCGGACCCTGCAGGAGACAGAGGCCCTGGGCACCAGGCGGCGGCCTCAGTCCCCGGGGCTGGTCCCTCCCAACACTCACCCCCAACCCCGTCCCCCCGCTTCTCCCCTCGAGGCCCGGGGTGGGGGGCGCAGAGACGCGGGTCCAGGGCGTCGACCCGTTCCCGGAACAAGTGTGCAAAAAAAAAAAAAAACAAAAACAAAAACAGCAGAGTGAAACAAAAGCTGTGTAGTGTAGCGGCCGGGGCGACCAGGAAAGGCTCCTCCTCCGCCCGAGGCCCCAGGCGCGGGCCTCGGTGCCCGGCGCAGGTGACCCCGGCCAGCCGCCTCCGCGGCCAAGTGCAAGCGCAGGCTCCGGGCTGCGGGCTCCGGGCTGGGCAGGGACCGCGGCTGGGAGGCGCCACGCACATCTGCGGAGCCACCAGCAGTGTCCTCTGCCCGTCTTTCTCTCTCTCTCTGCCTCTCGGGGACAGACCTGAGAATAACCTGAAAACGTCCCCTCCCCACCCTCACCGGTGGCCAAACCGGTCACACCCAGAGAACTTAAAAAAAACATTGTGTTTTAAAAAAGGAGCGAAGGCCGCTGTCCGGGTCCAACCCTGCGCACCCCAGAGTCCCGGGACTCACTGGAGCCGCCCTGGGGCTCTCTGGGCTGGCGGGATTGGGACCCAGATGCGGGGCCTTGAGGGGAGCACCCCAAGCAGCCGCAGGAGCCCCCCAAAGGGACAGGCAGGGACAGCAACCCGGGCACCGTCATGGGCTTCGGGGCGTCTCTGAGACCCACGAGCCAGGTGAGTTGGTTTTACTCTTTTCCTCAAAAAAGAAAAAAAATTAGGCACTTCCCGGGGTGGGCAGCCCGGTGCCACCACCCCCACTTCTTGGAGTCCGGAGGGGGCCGCAGGGCTGCGGGCACAATAACTTAACAGGAGGCTGAGGCAGTCCGGCTCCGGCCTGCACCGTGCCCGATGGCGGGGCCCGGGTGCAGGGCGGGCACACTGGCATCTCAGCTGCTGCGTTTTTTCTTGTGTTTTTCTCATTTTTTTAGAAAAAAGGAAAAAAAAAGTGGAGCCACAAGTCATGGTGGCCGCGCCCCTGCCAGGCGCGGGTGGGAGGCCCGGTGGTCACACCAGGTTGTACTCCTTCAGGTTCAGCTGCAGGATGGTGTCCTTGACGGCTGCGAACACGAAGCGGATGTTCTCCGTGTCGGTGGCGCACGTGAAGTGCGAGTAGATGATCTTGTCGCTGTCCGGGTTCAGGTCCACGAACATCTTCAGGATGAATTCGCGGGCTGCCTGCGCGTCCCGCTGTGGCCCTGCAGGTGAGGGGCACTCGTGACCCCGCCCCCGGGAGGCCCCGCCCCCGGGAGGCCCCGCCCCCGGAGAGCTGCGGGCACCTGCTGCACCACCAGCCCAGCTCCGTCCCGCCCTCCCGGCCTCACACCAGGACCAGGAACGCCCCGCCCGGACCCTGGACGCTGCGCACCATCAAACTCGGGGAAGTAGTCCACCAGGTGGGAGCAGAGGATCTTGTCCTCCAGCAGGTCCTTCTTGTTGAGGAAGAGGATGACCGAGGAGTTCTGGAACCAGGGGTAGGTGATGATGGTGCGGAACAGCGCCTTGCTCTCCTCCATGCGGTTCTGCGGGGCGGGCGTGGGCGTTGGTGCGGGCAGTGAGGGCCGGTCCCTGCCCACGGCCCGTCCCCGGCCGGCCTCACCTCGTTATCCGACTCCACCAGGACCTGGTCATACTCGCTGAGGGCCACCAGGAACATGATGGACGTCACGTTCTCGAAGCAGTGTATCCACTTCCGGCGCTCAGACCGCTGCCCGCCCACGTCCACCATCCTGGGAGCAGCGGGGTGTCAGCCCCGGCCCCTCGCCCGCTCTGCCCGGGAAGGGGGCTGGTCCTCACTGGACCCGCACGGCCCGGTCAGCTGGACACGGCGCTGCCCCTAAGCCCCACCCCCACTCCGCGCTGGGGGACCCGGAAGGCAGGCAGAGGCTGCAGGCTGGGCCTCGGGGTCACTCTAGCCGGGCAGGGGTGTCGGCAGGGGCCTGGGGCGCAACGGCTTCCTGGCCCTGGGGTCCGAGCACAGGCGTCTGTCGCTGCGCGTGTCCACGCAGAGAATTAGAAACGGTGCCGGCCCCGACGCTGGCTGTAGGGACCCGGCATGGGAGGGGGTCCCCCGAGAGCCGAGGAGGGCAAAGTGGCCGCCCAGTTCCAGTGGGGGACCCTACGCAGGCAGGGCCAGCGAGTGGCTCTGAAAGGAGGCAGAGGCCGTGGGGAGAGGGTGACCCCAAGACGACGAGGGGGGTGCAGGGCGGCCCGGGGGGTGCTCTCTCTCCATTTGGGGGCTGTTCCAGCCCCGGGAGATACCCCAAGTAACGGGATGTGCCAGGTGACCTGGAGGGACGCGGGGCTGGTGACCGGCCGACCCTGGGAGCAGGCCCTCAGGGGCCTTCAGGAGTTCAGAAGCCGACACAGGAGGCAGGTGTGCCACAGCGCAGGGGAGTGCCAAGGACCCCAAGGGCTGGGCCACCCCGATGGACTGGGGCACAGAGGCCGTGTCCCACCTGACCCGGACCAGCAGGGGGCGCCCTGCGTTCCCGGCTGAGAACCCTGCCACCTTGGGGGGTCCCCCCCAACCCTGCTGCTCCCCCCAGGCACCTGAAAATGATGTTCTCCAGGTCGAAGGGGTACTCGATGATGCCCGTGGTGGGCACACGCACCCGGAGCACGTCCTGCTGCGTGGGCAGGTAGCCCGAGGTGGCGATGCGGTCCACGTCCGTCAGGTAGCTGCGGAACCAGGCAGGGTGAGCAGGGCATCAAGCACCCGCCGCCCCAGCCGGGGGACCAGGAGCCCTGCCCAGAGGAGGCCGACGGGGTACACAGGGGGCAGAGTGAGCCATCCCATCCGCCCACCCCGCCCTATCCCTGTCCCTTCCACCGCGTTCCCCAGCCGCCGCAGGCCACACGCTGCCCCACGCCCAGGGGCTGGCACCGGGCTGTGGCGGGTGGGACCTGTGAGCCCGGCCGCCGCACTCACTACTTGGCGGAGTCCGAGAGCTGGTATTCGCGCCGCCGATCGTAGCACTCCTGGATGCCAGGGTCGCTCCACAACGTCTTGATGGCGTTGACGTACTGGTGCTCGAAGGTGGTCACCTTCTCCACGTCCACATCCCGGATGAGCAGTGCGTTGGCCTGGGGAGTGGGGGAGGCCGCAAGCTGGAAGGGTGCCCAGGCACTGCCACACCCTTCTGGGCTTCCATGGACAGGGTCCCCAGAACGCCCCGGGGAAGCAGCCTCTCCCCACCCCCCGCCAGAAGTAGGGAGCACAAGAAGGGCCAGGCCCAGACACGGGGGGCACGGGGTGGATGGTGTCACCAGCACCACACCCAGGTCTCAGTTCACAGGTGGAGAAACTGAGTCACACAGCATGCAAGCTGGCCCTCGGTATTGGACTCCGGGGCTTGTACCCTGTGTCCTCCTGTGCCAGAGAGGATTTATTGACCGCCATCTGGGGCAGGCCCAGCAGCCCTCAGCCACGATAGCCGCATGCCACGGCAGGCACTGGGCCGCCCTTGCCGGGAGGTGACAACCAGGCCCGAGCCTCGGCCTGGTAGTGCAGGGAGATGTGCAGGGGCCAGCCAGCACTGTGCTCGCGCGCACACACACACACGTGCTCACACTGTCCAGGGCCGATGACACGGGGGAGGCCTGGAGCCACCCTCATGCCAGCACCACCGGGCACTGTCCTGGAGGAGCCACCGACCCTGCACCACTGAGGTGGGACCAGCTGCTTTTTCTGGGAAGCAGCCCGGGGCATAACCAGCGCAGGTGCCAGTGACCTTTACCCACAACAGGGGCTGTGCTCCCCATCTGTCCACACAGCACTCACGAGGTGGAGACCAAGGATCCTGGGTTCCAGCCCACCCTGGACCGCTCAGTGACTTAGGGAGACCCCGTCTCCAAACAAGGGGGAAAGCTCAGCACTCGGGAGGCTGGGCAGGAGGACCGCTGCCAGTCTGACTCCAGCCTGGGCTATAGTGAGCTCAAGGCTTTCTGGACTGCACAGTGAGACCCTGTCTCAAAAAGACAAAAACGCAGAGGGGATGTTGGGAATGTAACGCAGTGAGAAGGCCCTGGGTCACTCCCAGTATGGCCAAAACTAAACAAAAGGCTCGTGGACAGCCCCCTGGATACATCCGCACCAGGTCGGGGCTCCTGGATGAGGTCGTCCCACCTGACCCGGACCAGCAGGGGGCGCCCTGGATGGATGCAGCTAGGGCAGGGGGGTGCCTAAGATGCGGGGGCGAGAGACCCGCCCACCCCAGGCGCAGTGGCCCCAACCTAACACCCAGGCTCTGCAGGATCAGGCAGGGCAAGAGGTACGAATCCCAGACATGGCAGAAATCTGCAGGCCTGGCCTGCGGTGCAAACGGGACAGAGGAACTGGAACCCCGTTTGGACTCTGGGGCTGAGCACCAGCCCTGGACAGGGTCCCAGGGCCCAGCGGAAGCCCCACGGGCAGCGCTTCAGAGGCTGCTGGCGGCCCTGTTGGGAGGGGCTGGGGTCCACAGAGGGCCCGAGAGCCCAGCTTGCAGGCTCAGGACGAGGTGCTGTGCCCCGGGACGACGGCCTGGTGGCTCCCTCCGAACTGCTGCCAACACCCACTATCAGCAGCGTCCACTCCCGGGACCGCGCTCACAGCCGCCAGAGGCAGAAGCTGCCCTCGGCCCTTCAACTGCTGAAGCGGCTCACACAGCAAGTCACCCCCAGGCGCAGTGTCCTCGGCCAGGACAGGAGCGCGGCTGTGACACCGCCACAGGTGGACGGACCCTGACACTGGACACACAGGGTGGGCTGTGCCGACAGGAAACGCCCAGAACAGGAAGTGGGCTCGGAGGTGCAGGGCTGGGGAGGGGACAGGGGACTGCTCATGGGGATGGACGGGACATTCTGGAACTAGATAGTGGTGACGGCTGCAGGATTGTGCCAATGTATTGAAAACCACCCAGAAGCGGGGGAGGCTGAGGCAGGAGGATCCTGAGCTCAAGCCCGTCTGGGTGACTTGGTGGTTCGGCAGTGCCGGGCTGTGGCGCAGGGCGGCCTGCGGCTCACCTCATTCTGCTCGTCCTTGTAGAGGATCTTGAGCGTGTCCATGGCACGGATCATGGCCTGCATGGCGGTGAAGATGTTCTGGTAGACCAGCTTGGTGAAGCCCCGCTTGTCCTCCTCCGAGTAGCCGGCGCCGTGGATGATCCGCATCTGCTTGATGAAGGTGCTCTTGCCGCTCTCGCCGGTGCCTGGGGGCGGGCGGTCAGTGAGGGCAGGGCGCTGGGCATGGCGCAGTCCCCAGAGCCCCTTCCTCCGGAGCTTGGAGCTTGGGACCCGGCCCATCGGGCCACCTGCTGCCCAATGCCCGGCGCCTTCCTGGCGGTCGCCCTGGGGCCCCTCATCCGTCCCTGCATGGCTGGGGCTCGCTCCTGGCCCATGTGTCACCCTGGAGCCCACGCAGCCTAAGAGTGGTCCCCCACCACGTCCTCCACACGGAACCCCAGGCCCTGTGACCTCCCCTGCCTCAGGTCTTCTGGGATGATATGCACTACCTGCCCCCCGCCAGGGACCCCTGGACCCGAGGGCAGGCTGGAAGTTGGAGGCTGTGGGGAGCCGTGACTGCTCCCTAGCTCCCGTCAGGACCCCCACACTCAGGGGGTCACAGCAACACTCATCACCTCTGTTCTAGGACAGTTTAAACCCCTGCTCCCTGCTCCCCGCTCCCAGCCTGTCCCCCACCTGCTGTCACCCACACTTGCCAGGACGCCACTTGTGGGGGTCTGCAGCTGTACCCCAATCCCCTCGGTGAGCACTGGGGACACCCCTGCCATATGAGGAGGAGCTGAGATCCATGCAGCACCCCAGCTGGGTGCCAAACCGTGTCTGTCTGTTTGCTGTCTGCTTCTGTACTGGAGATAAAACCCACGGCCTCAGCTGAGCTCTGTCCCAAGCCTGCTGTCCTTTTTATTCTGAGACAGGGTCTCGCAAAGTTGCCTGGGCTGGGCTCGAACCTTTGGTCTTTCTGCCTCAGCCCCCCAGAGTGCTGGCATGACAGGCGTGTGGCACCCCAAGTACAGTGAACAAACGCCTGTGAGTGCCTGCACTTCTGAGCCCGGGGTGGCTCCCTGCTGTGGCTGCAGACACGGGCCAGTCTAAGGGGTGGCGGCCTGGCCCCTGCCCACAGCCTCTCTGGCTCCGGCTCTCAGCACAGCACACACAGCCCCCGGCCGCTGGGGTCCTGGGACCTCCTGCCATCAGCCCCACCACACTTGCAGAGCCAAGCCGGGTCCTTCTGTCCCTGCCCCTGCCGAAGTCCTGTCCTGCCTGGGGCCCTACAGCTGGCCCAGGCAGCCCCCGGCCCTAGGCCCAGGGTGCCCCTGCAGCATCCCCTCGCCACCAGGTGCCCCATGCAGGCAACCAAGGAGACCTGTGTTCCCAGTGGACGCGGTCACACGTTAGTGACCGGCAAGGGCCCCAGAGAAAAGCCGGGTAGCAATACTCCTCACTCCAGTACCCAGGCCTGCACCCCACATGTAAACACACATGGCACTAAGCTGAACCCCAGCAATGCCGGGGAGAAGAGAGGTGACCCCAGCACCCCAGTTCCGCAGGCCTCACCACATGAAGAGCTGGCACTGCCACGGCAGGGTGGACCCGGGCCCCACGTTTGTCCTGCACACATCTGCCCCCCATATCTGTGCAGACTCCAGGTGCACTGAGACGGGGGGCAACCCCACCTCCCATAGCTAGGCTCAGAGGAGCATGCTCCAGGCACAAAGAGGGGCCCTAGCGCAGCCTACAGGGTGTCCAGGCCCCTGCAGGACAATGAGCAGGCCCCTGGCCTCCACCCAGCAGGAGCTCCCCCCAGCAATGACAGCAATGATAGCAAATGTCCTTGATATCACCCGGCACGGCTGGGGCCAGGATCCCTCACTATCCACAAAATGCTGTATAAAAAGCCCTGCGCTGGCCTGGGACAGCATCTCACCTGGGAGAGGGCCACACCCATGCGCCTGCCACCCCTGAGGGCGCCGGGCGGCGTACCCACAGGCACCAGGGACCCCAGACACAGCCACTCCTGCACCAAGCACAGGCCCCTCGGGCCACAAGGGCTCCGACTCGGGCAGGCTCCGCTCGGCACAGCAAAGACACCAGTTGGACGGCACTGGTGCTGGCCACTGACCCCCCAGAGTGGACCTGTCTGTCACCACGCTGGCTCGCCAGGGACCTCAACGGGTCTACATGGACTCTGAGCTTGCAGACAAGGGGGCACACACGTACCCACCCCCAAACCTGCACACACACACCCACTCACGCCGCAAGCCCCTGCGCAGGTAGTGCCACTGCAGTCCCGGCACGCAGAGGGTGAAGCGGGCACCGGTGCCCTGACACCTGGAGCCGGGCTGCTCGGAGCCCCCGAGGTGGGGCTGGCTCTCTGCATCCTGTGCCTGGGGCCAATGGTGAGGGAAACCAGCAGCAGCTGCGGCAGGAGCAGGGGTCAGAAGGAGCCACGTCCAGCTGGCTGGGGCTGCTTCTGACCACCGCAGGACACCAGCAGCTGGTGCCAGGCCCAGCGCGGCTCGGGGTGATAGGCTTCTGTCCCTGCCCTGACTCCCAGAGCCAACTCGGCTCCTGTCACATCCTGTCACTCCGGGAGGTGCTCGGAACCCCCCTGACACCACACCGGAGAGCACCCTGCCTGGGACCCCAAGTTTGTGTGGGGGGCCCACTCGCCCGCACAGTGCCTGGCTTAGCCTGCTTAGGAACCGCCACCAGGAGCAGGGCCAGCTCGGGCCTCAGAAGGAAAATGGGGCCACTGAGGTCCAGTCTCGGGTGTCCGTCCTGCCGCAGAGCCTCAGGTCCCTGCTCGTCTGCCGGGGAGGACCTGGCGTCCTCTGCGTGCCCTGGAGGCCACACAGCAGGTTTCCCTGCAGCCAGCACGGCCTCAGCCTCAGGCCCTCAGCAGGCAGTGGTGACAGGGTGACAATCCCCCGACAGTGCGCAGCTGGGAGAGGACAGGCTGAGTTTGGTATGGGTCCCACAGGGTGGCCCTTCCGCCCCTCCCCTCCACGGGGAAGAGTGAGAGGTCACCTGCGCCAGGCAAGGTCTCTGGACGCCAACCTGTGGCCTCCCGCGCAGGGGCACCGATGTCACTGCGTACACGCGGGCCAAGGGCCTGGGAGCTTTGTGTCAGCAGCCCACCTGAGACAGTGACGAGATCTCGGAAATGCAAGATGCGGTGGTGGCCAGTGCGGGGGAGGTGGACATCAGGACCTGGGGAGGACACGCTGCCCTGCGGCCTGGGAGTGGTCTCAGGACACCCAGGGTGCCAGGCTGGGTGGTGGCGTGAGAACAGGGGACCCCAGCGCTTCTCCTGGAGCCCAGCACCTCCAGGTCCCACCCAGAAGACAGCAGAAGTGGGGACCCCGTCTGCACGGCTCCGCAGGCCCCCTCCCCCCTGTAAGCACACGCTGCCAGCTGGGGCCCCTCCAGAGGCCAAAGGGTCCCATACACAGACCTCAAGGAGGAGCCCCCTCCTCAGGCTGGCACAGGGGCCCAGCCTGCAGCTGAGGGCTCCCAGCCCAGACAGAGCGACATGGACACCTATGGCACAGGGAGCCTAACATGGCCCAAAGACACGAGGTCAGAGGGCACCGCACAGCCCTGACAGGTGCAGGGACCGCCCCACTTCACTGGCAGAACCCCAGGAGGTGACTGTCACAGCCACTCCTGTTCATTTGACAAGCAGAGAAACTGAGGCACAGAGCAGTTACGTGGCCTCCTCCTCCTCCACCCAGCCCAGGCTGTCTGTCTGCCTCGTCCCAAGCAGGCCCCACAGGGACACAATCCTCCCCTCCCTCTCTGCCACCCAGGGCCCCCATGGCGGCACAGCAGGGGGTGCAGGCGGGACCTCATCACACCAGTGTATTGGGGCCAAGGGCAGTGACCCTCGCGGGGCCTCTGCGGTGACACCCACGGGGCTGACTGTGCACCCCACACCACATCCCCGCAGGCTGGGGTCCAGCGACTCCAGGACCTGGTAGGTGGCTCCAGCCACCACAGCTCGGCCCTAACCAGACCATGGAAGGCGCCCGGCCCCTCCTGGACCAGCGGCTGCTGCAGCGGGGCTCCTGGGGCTCCAGGCCTCGTGTGGGGCAGCGCATCACGGCAGCATACGGAGTGGGGGAGCTCACCTACGGTCTTCTGCAGGGAGACAGGGATCTGGGACCTGTGCACCCCATCCCCCAGAGGCTCCCCCACTCATGGGGAACACAGCTGACACACAGACCTTCAAGGGACACAAGACCCAGATGGTGGCCTTGCCCAGAGCTCCCACAGTACAGGGCTGACCTGGCTGGGTAACTATCAGCTCTCAGGTCTGGATTCCTCCTTGGGGGAAACTGAGGCAAGGCCCTGCCATCACTCAGCCCCCATGCCATGCTCCGACAGCCCAGGAAGGCTGGACGAAGTGGACAGACCGGGCTGCTCTCTGGCTGGGTTTGGTATGGGTCGTAAAGACTCTAAAGGCAAGGATGCCAGCAAGCAGAAAGGGCAGCCCCAGGGCAGGGCCCGGACCCCCACACTGCACCCCACATGACGGCATCCCCAGGACACCCTGGCTGGGGTCTGCACAGAAACCACGACCCTGCTGGGGACCTAGAGGGGCCCCCAACTGCCACCTGCCTAGCTACAGAGGGGACAAGAGCCCCGAGGGCCGCCACGGCTGCCTGGGCAGGTTCCCGTGGACAGGCCACACTCCCGGAAGCAGGACATCTGTCCATCACGGTGCCTCTGGGTGGCCTGGTCCCCAGGCCATCCTGGTGAGGATCAGCACCCAGCATAAGCACTTCCTCACTCTCCACAGTGACAGGGACGGCGGCGTGAGGCAGGAAAGGCCTCAGGGATCTGGGAGCTGTGCAGTCACTCAGAGCTTGGGGCTCCTGGCCGGCCGCACCCCAGCCACCTGGACTCGGGGACAGGCCAGCCTGGCTGTGCAGCCAAGACCAGACCAGGCAGGAGCAGTGTCTGCCCGAATCGGCTCAGGGGCTGGGCCCGAGGCTCTGTGGGGCGGGCAGGGCAGGGCAGGGCAGGGCGTCCCCGCCTCAGGGGCAGGCCAGAGGTCTGGGCCCTCTGCACTCCTGGGACAGGTCTCCACAGCCCTCTCAGGCCTGCAGCAGACAAAGCTGCCCAGGGCAGAGACAGCTCGACTGCAGCGAAGGCCACATCCTGGGGGGAGGCCCCTCCAGGGCCATTTAAGGGCCTCCTGCTCCCACCGGCTGCAGGGACATGGTGGGGACACGCAGGAGCCCTCCCAGGAGCTGGCAGCTGCCTAGGAGCCCCCTCAGCGCCAGGGGCACGCCCAGCCTCCGGGGGCCGGATCCAGCCTCTGGCTGCCGGGTGGCCGGTGGGCGGCGGGCGGACAGGAAGCCGGCGGAGCGAACCGCCCTGCTTTATTTAGAAAGCCCTGCGCTGCTCACCCAGCCTCGCTCCGGCCCACAGGACCCGGCTTTCCCAGGCAGGTTCCGACTGTCCAAGTGGGGAGGGGGACCGAGACACAGCCCAGTGCACCCTGGGGGCCCTGCGCTGGGGCACTGGCCGTGGTGCTCGGGATGCTCAAGGCTGCAGGGGACCCCGGGACACTGGCTGTGACACCATGACCCCGTGACCCACAGCCTGCAGAACAGCAGACAGGGTGTCCCAGGTGAACCCCAAGATACAAGGTACGGAGCTACGCAAGCACACACACGCGGCTCGGGCTCCTCCACTAAGATCACTCCACCCTGAGCGATCATGCTGCTCACACCCAGCTTCCCCGCCAGCATTTCACATCCCAAGTCACTGCGGGGCAAGAAGTCTCAAACAGGGTGATGGGTCCCCAGGGAGCACGTGTAGTCACCACTGCTGGGGTGCTCCTGGGGCGGAGTCCGTGGAGGCCGGGAGTCCCCACAGAGCACCTGGCCTCAGTACGCACAGCCCAGGGGACCCCGCCGGCGCAGGGGTGCTGAACCTCACATGTGCATGCAGCTGGGGAGGCAGGGGACAGAAGCCAGCACCGTGACGACCCTCACAAGGAAGCCCCAAGAGACAGGGTGGGGACAGCTAGGGGAAAGCCAACACCTCACCCTGCTGGGTCGGCACTTGGGCTGGTGGGGACCGCAAGAAGTCCCCACAGAGGGACACAGCCTGGTCAATTTCGAGCCCTGCTCTGCAGCCAAGTTGCATGGGTGCCCTGGCAAGGTCCTCAACCTGCCACCAAAGGCCACGCACAGGGGAAACGTTCTGAAGCCCCACTGGGCCAAAGGCTTGCCGTCACCTCAGGGCCCAGGCCAAAGCAGCTGGCATTACAGCACACACCCTTGCCCTCCTGGGTCACACAGGTCACCCTCGCTGTCCTGCCCGTCCCGCCCTGCTGCGCCCTGCTTTACTGAAGGGGCGAAGGTGCTGTGGACAGCACACTAGTGCCCTGCAGCCACAGGTGGGCAGCAGGCAGCAAAGACCAGGCGTCCACACGGGCTGCAGCCACTCAGAAAGGCTGTGGAGACGGGGCCAGACGGTGACCCTAGTCCCCTATCAACCTCAGGATCAGCACAGTCCGGGTGCAGAGGGGAGAGGACGGGCGCACAGTGCAAGGCCATCTGGTGCCACCCTCGAGTGCTGCTGACCTCCAACTCTCCCATGTGCAAAAGAAAGACCCCCCCACCGCCAGAGCCAGCCGCAGCCACGCTGTAACTGCTGTAACCGAGGACCACGCCTTGGGCCCATCTCAGAGCCCCACGCTGCAAGGCTGCCCCCCACCCACCTGTCTGTCCTGGGGAAATGGCCTGTTTTAGAGCCTTTAAATGAATCAAGACACATTTGAGAGAGGCGATGGGAAGGTGGTGTGCCCACTGCGGCACATGAGAGAGGCAACATGCTTATGGCCAGCGAGCCCGGCCAGCACATCCGCCACCAGACTGGACTCCTGCAAACCCACAGGGCCTACAGAGGCAGCCTCTCCTGGCAGCCCTGCGTCCCCCACCCAGGAAGGCTGCCCGGGCCCAGCGCAGGGACTCCTCCATCCAGAGGAGCAAGGACAGGGGCAAGGGATGCTGACGGGGCATGGCTTCTATTTTGAATGTAAACTACAGCAGGGGACAGTCCTCCTGGGCCCTTATTTGGGGTGACAACACTCCTGACAGCCGAGGCACTGGCTCAGGCTACAGGTCAGTCCTGGGGAGACACAGTCACACAGTGAGTGAGGCTTCTCCAGGGAGACAGGAGGAGCCAAGGGGACCACACTGCTCCACCAGGCCACTGCAGATGGACAGGGCTCAGGAGGCCAGGTAGCAGGCCGTGCTGACCACCTGCATCTGCTCCGTCTACCAGGCCCAGGGGAAGAAGAAAGAGTTCCCTGCTCTGGAGGGACCTGCTTTGCCTGCAGAGGGGGGGAGCATAGGCCAGTGACGCTTTAGAGGAGGGGGGGGCTGCATGTAGTGAACAGGCCCCCGAGAGGTGGGCCGAGTCTGGATCTGGGAGGTGATGGGGAGCAAGTCTGCTCTCTGAGGAGGTGCAGGGGAGCTTGGGGGGTGGGGAGGCACAGGGCAGATCCCCACAGGTCCTGGCAGCCAGTGGACGCAGGACACTCGCTGACCAGGAAGGATGCAGGAGCTCGACCTGGATGGCACGGTAGCTGCTGACCTCAAAGGACCCAGGGCCTAACCTCGACGGCTCAGGCAGGAAACACAACGCCGGGCTCCAGAGGCTTTGACCCGAACCCTACGGCAAGCACTGGCCAGAGCAAGTCCAGCTGGTCAACATGGGCAGGGGCCGGGCGGAGGGATCCAGCGGCGAAGGGGACACCTCGGTCCTGACCACAGGAGGGGGACTCCGGGCTGGCCCTACGGGAGCGCCGGCCGGGCGGCGAGGCAGGAGCCGGCTAAGGGATCTGCCCGCAGCTGGGGAGCTCGGAGCCAACCTGGACAGCACCGGGCAGGTCTGCCCTGCAGGGATCTAGGCAGGGGCCGGCCACACACAGAGCCGGCCACGGGGAATGCGGGAGGCAGCGGCCAGCTGACCACCGCGGATCCGGGCCGCCTGACTGGCCACCCCGGGCGGGCACTGACCCGGCTCCGGCCCCGCTCACCGAGCAGCAGCAGCTTCAGCTCGCGCCGGGCGTCGCGCTTGTCCCTCCGCAGCTGCTTCTCGATCTCCGCGTTGATGCGCTTGGACTCCTTCACCTCGTCGCTCAGGCAACACGCCATCATGGACTCCAGAGTCATCGTTCCGGCCCCGGCCGCCGCCGGCCGCCCCCCGACCCGCCCGGTCTGGCCTGGCCTGGCCCGGCCCGGCCCGCCGGAGCCGCCTCGGCCGCACCCGGCCCCGACCTCAGCCCGGGCAGCCGCTCGGCCCGCTGTCGGTCCCCGCTCCGGCCGCTCCGCCGGGAAACCCCCGCCGCCACCCGCGCTGCGCCGCGCCGCCGCCGCCGCCGCCAACCGCAGCCGCCGCGAACAGGCTACGGCGCCGGACAACCTAGCGGCGTGACGGGGCGTGACGGACAGGCGGCGCGGCCAATGGGAAGGGCGGGCGGCCGGCTGGCGCGCCGCGGGGGCGGGACTAGCGGGCCGGCCGCGGGGGCGGAGCCTGGGGGAGCGCAGGGGCAGGGGTGGGGCCGCGCGAGGCGGGGCCGCCGCGCGTTTGGTTGCGCCGACGTGGGACCGACCGCGCCGCCGGGAGCCGGGCGGGGCCGCTCGGGATTGTGGGAATCTGGAGGACTCGGCCGCCGCGCTCACCTGGCCTGGGCGCCCACCGCAGCCTGCACGGTGCGCTTAGCACCCGGACCTCGCCCGGCTGCAAGAGAACCTGCGTCCACTGCTGGAGGCAGCCTTAGCGGACGCCTGGGGTCCAGCGGACATGAACGCAGCCCCTGCTGCTGGGGATGCAGCGCGCGGCCCAGAGCCTGCCTGGCAAGCGCAGGTCGTGAGTTAGATTCCCAGAACCCCCAAAAAAACACATCCCCTGCTGTACGCGTAGACCAGACATCGGTGCAAAACCTGTTATACACAAGACACGGGCCAGGCATTAAAGCAGCGTGCGCTGCCAGGTGTGGTGGCACGTGCCCGTAATCCCTGCGCTCCGGAGGCTGAGGCAGGAGGGTTGCCCTGAATTCGAGATTCGAGATCAGTCTGAACTGCAGAGAAGAGAACTGTCTTTTCTGTAACAAACAGCATAGCATTCCCTGACCCACAAAAGGACTATGACACTCCAATTTTAAACTGCATTCTGTCATCTACAGGAGCAGAGCTGAATAGTGACAACCAGCCCTAAATCGTTCTTTTCCCCTTTAATTTTTTTTTTTTTTTTTTTTTTTTTTTTTTTTTTTTTTTTGGTCTTTTTGAGACAGGACCTCCCTATGCAGTTCAGGCTGGCCTTGAGCTCACTGTGTAGCCCAGGCTGGTCTCGAACTCGCAATGATCCTCCTGCCTCACCCTCCGGAGTGCTGGGGAGTGCTGGGGTGACAGGTGTGTGCCACCACACCTTCCTGGCTAACCAGTGTATATTGAATGATGAAAAAAACAGCACTTGAAAGCTGGGAGCACTGTTGGGGCCAGAACCCCAGTGTAAGGGGAGGATCTGAGGGGGTTTTGGCCCTGAGCCGGCAGAACCCTGCCCAGATCTCAGCTCCCTGCACCCCATCACCCTCTCTTGCCAGTATGCTGCTTCACAGTCTGGAGATAAGGGGTGCAGGGGGAGGTCAAAGTCTCCATTTATGAGTTGACTGGGGTGGGGAGATTGTCTCCCTGAAACTTCTGCCTCTAAGGCCTCGGCGGGACACGGGCAGGGGAGGGCTCCCGGGGTCCCCTGTGACTTGGTTCAGCCTCCATCGCAGGCAGAGGCAGCCGTGATGGTGCATCCCAGCACTTGGGGAGGCTGAGGCAGGAGGATCGCAAGTTCCCGAATATAGTAGGTGCTGAGTGAAGTGACTGGTTTCAGTCTCCAGTGGCTTTGCCATCGATGCTGCTGGCACTCACAGCCGGATCTGCACATCCACGGGCCACCCCGAACACTGTCCTTGTCACTAACCCGAGAGGGAGCGGCTGGGGCATCTCCGTCTGTCCTGGCCATGCCCAATGCTGGTGCCGCCCTCCTGCACCTGTGCCCTCCAGGCAGCTGCATCGCTCCCAAGCATGCTGCGGTGTCACCTGCCACCCCGTTTCCAGGCCTGACCTCCCCCAGCTCCAGAATTGGGGTCCCACTGTGCCCAGACAGCCCTACACTGGGGTCTCATGAGATCTCACCTTCTCTGTGATCAAAGCTGGGTCCCAGTTTCACCCCCACAAAGGCCACATCTCAAAGCCTTCATCCCTAAGCTGGATCTGAGAGTGCATCCCGCTGTACCACCCAGGAGGCTGAGGCAAGTATGGCCTAGGGCAACTTAGTGACTTTGGAAGACCCTGTTTCAAAATAAAAAATAAAATAAGGGACTGTAGGAGGAGGGGTGGAACTCAGGGTCTAGGGTCAATCCCAGGAAAAGAAACAAAAAAGGAAGCAACGGTGGAAGCTAATGTTTATTCTTTTAAGGTGTTCAGTTTGGGCTTGTTTGTTACACAGCCACTGATAACCGATGCACAGGACCAGGACTGAGGAAAGCATACATCTGCACACACAGCCTCAAATACAAACAATGCATCTGGCGATAGGTGAGCAGACAAAGGAATCGTGGTCCAGCCTACGATGAAATATTATGCAGCGAGGAAAAGGAACTAACTTCATACACAGAGCAAAGGACTCCCTCCTTTCCTCTCTCTCCCTCTCTCTTCCCTCCTCTTTTCCTTCCAGCGCTGCAGACGGAACCCTGCCAAAGTACTCACCACTGAGCTACACTGCCAACCTTTTCTTATTTTATTTGAGACAGGATCTCATCAAACTCCCCAGGCTGGCCTCTGGTTTACGATCCTCCTGCCACAGCCTCCCAAGTCACTGAGGTTAGAGCCTTGCAGCCCACACTGCAGGCCGGGCGCCAAGTTCTAATCAAATATCCCCATGAGGCCTGTCTGCCACAGCTCACCCTGCCCCATGGGGACATTGTCTCGGGACTCTCACATGTGAGCTATGTCTGCCGTGAGCTAGGAGAAAGCCTCCAGTGTCTCACAAGGAGAAACTGAGGCCCAGGAGAGGCAGTGGCCTGACCCTGGGGTGTAGCCAGGAGCAATTTGCGGACTCTGCTCTGGCAGCCAGGGCTTAGAGGAGACAAAGTCCGCCAGGCTGCTCCTCTGGGGCACCCGGCCCTCCCTCCTGGCTCCTGGCCGCCTCCCTCCCATGGCCTTGACCAGAGCTCTGAGGAGCAGCTGGTTTTATGAGGCTTGGGGGGGGCACATCCTGGCACAGGCTCCAGGGCAAGTGCAAAGGTGTGGGCCCCGGGGGGCTGAGGGTCACATCTGTTCCCCTCCCCGATGGTGGCAGAGCCCCTCACATGCACTCGGCCAACCCAGCCCTCCCCAGGGCTTTGCTGGCTTCGGATGGAACCCAAGGCCTCCATCCTGTTTGTTTTTTCTTCAAACTTTTTTTTTTTTTTTTTTTTTGTCTTTTTCATTTTTACCGGTACCAGGGATCGAACTCACGACCGCCTGCTTGCAAGGCAGGTGCTTATGCTGCTGAGCTAAATCCCCAGCCCCGGTCCTGTTTGTTTTTTATTTTGAGACAGGATCCCACCAAGTCACCCCATTTCCCAGATGAGGCTCAAACTTGCAGTCCTCCTGCCTCAGCCTCCCCTGGAACTGGGGTGACCAGGACACATCTCCCCACCTCAGATGGTTTCTTTGGGGAAGCGGCTGAATTGAGCTTCGGAGCTTCTTATGGGAACAGGGCCCGGGCTGGGACACAGTCACACAGCTGTGACCTGGTCAGGCCCCTCAGCCTCTGCAGTGGCCTCATGTGGGTGCAGGGGGGCTGGGGCCCCTCTGAGGAACATTGGGGCATGGGTCTATGCAGCCTCAGTGGGACCCCCCCCCCGTTCCTGTGATGCTAAGGGGTCATCACCGGCCACAGGGCACTGATGCCAGGCTCTGTCTTGCCCCCAGTGCAAGGCTGTGGCCTCTGTCCAGAGCCGGATCGTCCTGCCTCAGCCTCTCGGTCCTGGGATGGCAGGTGTGTGTCCCTACACTCTGCCCCGTACCACCTTTTTTCCCCTAAATTGGTCTTTGTGAGACAGGGTCTCACTGTGCAACCCAGGCTGGCCTCAAACTCGCAGTGATCCTCCTGCCTCAGCCTCCCGAGTGCTGGGATTCCGTGCTTGCACCACCAAGCCTGGCCCCTTACTTCCTGATATCTGCAACCAGCAATAAAACGCACAGAGGTTACTGGCGCAGGTGCGGGGTCAATAAGGATGCCGGGCATTGTGTGCCAGAGGTGGTGACAGGCGTGCCCGTGTGTTGGGAGAGGAACAGGTCACCAGCCCTGAGCGCAGTGTCGGTGCCAGTCTCTGCCCCAACACGCGCGCACTAGGCTTGCGGCAGCAGGAGGAAGTGGACGCTGAGCTGGGCGTGGAGCCGTGGAGCACACACCCCTGATCCCCCTACTCCGGGAAATTCCAGCCCTGCCCGGGCCGCTTAGGGCAGGTGCACGACGCTGGGGAGACACTGCCCCCGTGTGGCTACTCTTGGGATCGCAGTCGTGGGGACGGCAGCCAGGTCCACGCAGCCCAGGCTCTGTTCCTCCGGCTGGGCGCTGCTGAATCCTTGAAGCTGAGCCAGGGCGGCTGGGGAAATGCAGTTCTCACTCCACTACGTTTTCATTACTTTTCGTGTAAAGAGAAATGTATACTAGAACACCGTGGCGCAAGCCTGTCATCCAAGCACTCGGGAGGCTGAGGCAGGTGGGTCATGAGTTCAAGCCTAGTCTAGGCCACTTAGTGACTTAGCAGGACTCTGCGTCAAAATAAAAAATAAAAAAAGAAGGGCTTGAGTTGCAGCTGAGTGCAAAGACCCTAAATACAATCTCCAGTACCACAATATCAATCAACAAACCAATAAACGCAAGTAGCCACGGGTGGTCCTCTGGTTCCCATGGCAACAGATGCAGGCATTCAGGCCACAGAAGCCCCACCCGAAGACCTAGGGAGGGTCAGCCCTAGGGCAGGGCGGCCATAGAGCCTTGGCTGCGACGTCCCAGCTCCCAGGGACACCAATTCACCGCAGGCTTCCTGCCTCAGCCTGCCAAGTGCTAGGAGTACAGTCCTGCGCCCCCCACGCCCCCGCTCTCAGCTCTGTCAGTTCCCTGCTGGGGGACTGAGAGTGGCGTCTCACCCTCGCTTCGTTTCTGGGTCTCCCTGGCTTCCTCCCGGATGTAGTCTGGGACCCAATTATAGAACCCATTCAGCTTGACCTATTGTGATAAAATAACATGGGATTGCAAGTGGGGGCCGCCAGAGTCAGCTCCTTCCTCTCTCCCCGTCCCATCACGAGTAGGGGGCGGCCTCAC